GGCGGTGGCGGTGGCGGTGGCTGCGGCGGCGGCGGCGGCGGTGGTGGCGGCGGCGGCAGTGGCGGTGGTGTCCGTACCAAAAAGGCAGCATCAGTAGCCGGAGTCATAATACTAGCAACAGTAACAACAGTGGTACGGAGCAGCGGTAGCTTTCATGCGGTTATTCACCTCAGTACTAGTTGTGGAGGTGGTAATCGTATTAGCGGGCCAGATTTTTTGTGTAAGGTACACCACTCACCCAAATCCTGAACAGACTAGGTGAAAACTTACTATAATGGAGGTGTCAGGCCTTCTATGAATTCTTGTAGCGTGATCGAGCCATCACCATTGTCGAGAAACTCAAAGAGGCTGAGCAGGTCGTGATACTCCAACCTAGCGTGTTGTTGAGTCTGCTTGCGGCAGTAAGGCTATTGCCCTGAAGTGGAAATCTGATTGCAGGAGTGGGGAGTGGACCTATGAAAGCAGTTCCCATGGTGAAACGATTATGTGATGGGTTTTGGCTTATCCGACTGGCAACATCATGGTGAAAATGCCGCCGCGATAATGCGGCGCAGTTGACTCTGTTAGCCGCCGGACGCACAACATGCATTAGGTTGATGAAGCATATTGTGGCTAATAGGGAGGTGTTTTAAATGTTCACATGCCCCCTCTAAATTCACTCGAGGATAGAAACCACCATTCCTGGGCGCAGTTACAAGGCGGCCTGGGCCTAGCTACACTTTTGATGCATGACTCCTTGACTCCTTGATCCATGTTTCAGCTATGAAATACTGCACAGGAAGGGTCAGAGTACTTCCATGAAGTGAAAGAGGCTGTGTAGGCAGAGAAGACATGAATATTCGTACAATACTCACAATCAGCGGGTTGACATCATCCTGCGCTTTGATTCGCTTCGTGTTTCTTTGCTAAAGGACGATCTGTGCTGGCAGCACCCAGCACGCGGAGAAGGCCCACTGGCGTTTCCAGATCTACCATCGCACCGCCACCGTGTGGCAATGATGGCAAAGATTTCCAAGCACTCAGGCGTTAAGGACCGAGGTGGACGAGATCTGCTGCGTGTGCAGGCGTGTTGGGGGGCGGGGAGCTAGGTCTAGGCCTTGGGGGTATTAGAGTTTTAGGGTCATATTAGGGTTATATTGGGGTTATACAGGGGGTATATAGGGATAATGGAAAAGAAAACGGAAAACTACTACTTTGGGTTTAGGAGCCACTCTGTGAAGAGTGAGGGAGGCATTGACGGGAAATCCATGGCAAGTCATGACCGAACTGCTGAGTGGAGGGCCTCTTCCTAATAAAGTTTCAAGGCTGATTGCCGAGCTCTCTTCGCTACCTGGTAACCCTAAACCCTAAACCCTAAACCCTAAACCCTATTTCCTGAAAGTTGCTGAGGATCCACTTCAGGGAGCCTGTCAGGCAGTCCTTTCAGGATCCATTCTTCTATGTCTTGAAAGATGGAAGGGGCTTAGAGCTGATGCACGAGAAACGAGACCTTTGAACAGTTATATCAACCAGGGCCCGTGACAGAGACATGAACTGAAAGACTAAGGCATAGGATGCCTAACACGCACATTGATACAAGCCCGACCGTGAATCCATATGATGAAGTCCAACAACGTGTAACGTGGATGAGTTGTTCTGTCTGGATGCCATTTTGAGTGTCAAGCGCGCATGCGCCGGGACTTGCTAGCAAAGGGAGCATGGGATGATGTCAAACACCAGGTGCCATCTGTCAAGCTGTGGTCGCACTTGAAGTTCCTCATACATACGGGTGGTTTCCAACAATTAGGGGTCCTTGTTGGGTAGCCCGTGTAAACGGAGACTCCTGTTTGAGGAACAATCCCTTGTTGTTTTTGTCAGACGGTCCCAAGAAATGAAAGCGTGCTGCACCAATATCAAGCCCATATTAAACCCATCTAAACCCTGTGTAAGCCCTAAACCTTAAACCCTTGACCCTCAGCCTTGAGCCCTATGACCATGAATGTCACCTGTGAAGCCGGGTAGCTCCAGTTGACTCATCCAGAACTTGAGCTTTGGTGAGGTGACGAGTTTCGAGAATTCCTGTCAGCATGATGGACCGCATAGGGGGAAATTCTGAAAATCTCAAAGTTGCGGATCCATTTTGGGGCCCTTCTAGCCAGGCCTCCATTTTTGAAAGGGAGGCTGGCCCGTATCCTTCAAACCCTGGTAACGCCGAACGAGGAATCTCGTACTTCATGCTCCCCCAATGAATGAACGCTACAAGCTCCCCCATGCTCAAACCTTTTGAAATGTATGGGGCTTAGGGACAAAGGCTTGGGGCACCCAAACCCCAAAAATCAGGAGCCTATACTGACATATGACTTGTACGGTCCTTCTCAAAGCACCAAATGCTAAAATCCTCTCAGGCCTCACATGAGCCCCTATGCTGACCCGAGTTCCCATTTCAGTTTCCACTTTCGTTTTCGTTTGATTCTCCATTATCAGTGAATAGCCTTAAACAATTAATTCCCACAAAGAATACCAACGGTCACCGAATCCTGTGTTGTTAGCGTCTAGGCCTTTCCAGAAGAGCTACACCTCCCTTCTGGTCCAAGCAGAGCATTCGCGGTGCATAGCGCGAGAGCTATGACTGATCGTATAATACGGTTGATCTTAAAATCATGTCTGACCCTCAATCCCCTAGACTTTGGGAATTATGTTATTACAGCATACTAAAGTCACGTAGGAATTTTGTCATAAACAGTAGTACCTGGGAGCCTATCTGCTCGGAAAACACGTGTAGCACCTCAAATGACTCTCCAAGTGATGTATGAAAGTTACTTATATTACACCCTTAAATAGTAGTTTCCAGTTTCTTTTCCATTATCCTTATATAACCCCCTATATAACCCCTATCTAACCCCTTAGATCGAACAGCAACCCTATGGCTAGATCTGGCTTCTTTGGGATTGATCACTCCGAACGCCTGAGTTATGGGGCCTCTGGATGTATTTGCAGAAAGCATTTGGGCATGAAGCTTTATGTTATTTGAACGAGCGCGCATGGTAGCAGGGTCCACGATCCGGAACCCTTTGGCCTCAAAGTTAATTGCGCCATCCCCGCTGTCGTCCATGTGCGCAAAAAGCTTGTGGACTTTGCGGGCATACCTGCAACTCATTCATAGCAAGGATAAAAAGCGCCATACCTGAGGAAAATACCTGTACTAGGTCTAGCTAGGGAAAACTCAGCGGGTGGCTGTTTATCCCTGAAGGCATTTCCCCAGAAACGCGCGGCGCACCTAAAGGTGGGCCCTGAATTTGGGCGCCCTGAATCGGGATGCCGTATCAAGATTTGTAATGCCAGTAACTAGGCACTCGAGGGTTCAAACTCTGCAAGTAGAAATGTGTTGACAGAAGGAAGTCAGCAGCTTACTGAGACCATGTGCTGGGGTACAAGGGCTGAGTCCGTGTCAGGGCTGAGGAATGTGGATGCCAGGGGCCTTGACCCTAAACCCTAAACCCTAAGCAGTAGTTTCCATTTCATCTTCCATTATCCCTATATAACCCCTGTATTATACCCCTATGAAACCTTCCCCTGAAACCTTAACCCTAAACCATGGGTACTGCCCCCCCCCCCCAGTAACAGTCTATATTAGGAGTCCTATCTATTATCCAACTGTTACTGAGGGGGGGCAGTACCCAACATAAACCCTATGTGTAGTCTAAACTCCTAATATCCCCCTTAATAACCCTGTAGTAGTCCCCTATACAATCCCCTATATAACCTCCCCTTAAGGAGTTTAGACTCTAGCTCCTATGTGAAGGGCATTCCCATTTCGTGAGGCCTGGGACCTTTCAGCTGAGGGCTGATTTGTATTTGCTCATCTGTACTTGGAGGGTTTAGGGGTTTAGGGGTTTAGGGGTTTAGGGTTGAGGGTTTAGGGGTTTAGGGTTTAGAGGTTTGGGGTTTAAGGGTTTAGGATTTTGAGCTTGCAGGGTTTTAGGGCTTATAACTGGGCTTATAACCCTACTTATAACCCCCCTTAATGGCCTTATAGGGCTTACCCCAATTGTAAGTAGGGTTGTAACCCCAGCTATAAGTAGTTTCTAAGTTCCATGAACCTCCAAGTAGGGTTTAGGGCTTAGGGGTTTAGGGTTTAGGGCTACTTAATATCTGTAATTATAGCCCATTGTAGGTCCCCTAAGTCAAGTAAGGACGGCTACACGCAGGATGTTAATGTATTCCTGAGGTAGGTTAAAAAGTAACACCTGACTCCAAGTAACCAGGTGTGCCTAGATATGCCGCTGCCTCGCAAAGGGCTGATCGAGCAGCTTTTGTAGTAGTTGAACAAAATGGGATTATATTCGTATTATAGATACAAAAAGCAAAAGGCGGATGCAAGCTCACTCTAGATCGGGGACCACAGCATCCCTGTTCTAGACCCAAGCATGTAAAATCTGCCTGAAGTGAGAACACCACTTAAACCTGTGTAGAGCCTCCTGGGCGAATTTTGGTGGTTCCGCGCACATATCCTAACATGAGCTATAGTCTAAACTCCTAGTATCCCCCTTAATAACCCTTATAGTAGTCCCCCATATAATCCCCTATATAACCTACTTTAAGGAGTTTAGACTAGAGCTCACATGCTTTCCTGCCTCTCCAGGATCCCCCAGAAAAACCACGTGCTTGATCTCCCACATGCGGGCCAAAGGTAGCACCCACCAGCATACATGGTAGTTTCCCAAGATTAGGGGAACCTTTTTGGGGGTCCCCATAGTAAGGCTTCCAGTATTTTGGGGTCTATATTGGGGTCTCCTTATTTTGGGAAACTACCACATACATTCTACACAGAAATATTTGTATACGTATGTGTGCAACACAAAAACTGGTCTTCCTACCAAGCGCTAATGCCCGGAACATCCAAATCCCCTTTCGGCTGGGACCCTGATTCCTGGACCCTCCAAAATAATAGACAAAGAATAATCTTATTACTACTATTTTACTACTATTCCTACTATTACGATTGATTATTATTATTGTTGTTGTTATCATTATTATTGCTCAGCTCTTGCCCAGGCGGCTGTGCAATGTCCTTCTCCTTTTGCTTAAAAGCCAGCTCTTCGTCGGAACCTCCGTCAACAACAGCAACACTATGCCCCGAACATTGTAATCGTCCAGCCTACTCTAGCTGGCTAGTATGTGGGCCTCGTGCGCATTTGAGCCCCTTAAGTCAACATGACACCAGGCACCTGCGTACAGCAAAAAATCATCAACGCCATCCTTCTTGGAAAGCTCTAAGGGCTGTAGAGTGTAAAGGGGTCCGTGATCATTCACCGGCAGTAAGTGAACAACTGCACACACTTACAACTGGGAGGTGGGGGATTCCTCAAAACGTCAGGGACCCCGGGCCCTCAGGGATATTGCGGATATTGACGGGCACCCTCCACAGGATTCTGCAAAGTCCCACGTGCGTACACACTGCCCTATTGGGAGTCATTGGAAAGATCCAGGTAGGTGGTCATCTACCCAAATTCTTGGGTGTCAGGTGTCAACGTGCCTCAGGATGACAGGCCGTTGTTGGTTCTTAGCATTGATGACCTCTGATGCTGTGGGCTGACATAAGGGGGCATCCCTCTTGAGACGGGCGATTTCAATAAGCTCTCAGAAATTTTGTGTTCCGTTAAAATTCCGATTGCCGATTGCCATTTCTAAGGTTGCGGCTTTCATGGCTATGCTCCACTACCCATCGTAACAGTCTCTTTGATACTTCGACCTCGTCATCGCAACTAAAATTAACCATTATTTCTACTATTACTCACCGATGTAAACCGAAAGCTACGAAAGCGTGTAAACCAGTTCCTGACTTTGTGTCATGCCAGGGAACTTGCCGTCCTCATAGTCTGCTGGACGAAAACAGAGTTAACCACCTGAGTTGGGATCTCCAAACAAGTTGCTTGCACCTGTTCTAGCCACTCTGCTGGTGGTTAGTTGCCGGCAGCGACGTTGTTATTGTCATCATCGCTGCTGTTGAGGCCGCTAGCGACCAGCGTTTGCACACTTATGGCTGACAAGCACATACTGTTGTCGTAATGAACAACTATATTCGTTGCTTCCAAGACGGATTGCACAACCCTTTGCTGCAATACATATGTTGCTTATCCAGCAACTGTGGTATGTAAACATGCGGTCCCTTGGCGACGCAGTTGTCAATGCGAGCTGAGCTGCATTGAGGACAGCAAAACCTTGGCTATTTGTGCTGCTATTCACCATTTGAGAGCGATGCGCCCATCTGATAACAATACGTTCTTGCAGTGCATATAACTTATCTTGCTATTGTCAACGAGGACGAAAAATTTCCAAACTAAAGACGGCTAGCAAAAATCAGAATATTGTTCTACGTCCCACGACATCACAGAAACGTGGCCCTCGTCGCAGCTTGGGTTGAATTTAGCCCTGTTCACAGCTGGGCACAGGCAGGCTCTTTTCAAAAGCAAACACAAACCACGCTCAAGCGAACCGAGGATCCTAAAACGCAGCGGTAGATCAGGAAGAAAATGGAGAGCCACTCGCTGACCTTGCTGCGCAATGTGCAGTGGTGAGTTGAAGCTGTGCTTACCTCTGGAACGAGCTTCAATGGTTCAGGATTTCATGACAAACTTCGACTTGGATTGCATTAGAAAATTTCTGCTGAAACTATGAAACCCAAAGTAATGCAAAAGCTGACTGCCAAATCTAATCCGAACTCTGTTGCAACCCAGAGATTGTCAAGCCACCAAACACAATACGACACAACTTGGGTGGGTTTCTGAAACGAGATGGAACACATGCGGCGCAACCATCCATGACCCTATGACTTACATCCGACAACTCGTATGACATCTGCCACACACACTCAAAATAGCTGTGAACCCAAGAAACACAAAATGTCGTTATCCAGTACTTTTTCCGCAATGGTTACAATGAAGCTGAAGATCTGTCAGGCAAAGCCTCAACATGGAAACATGTTCCAGCGAAACACCAAGCCCCAAATACGGCACATGAACTGAAAGCTTAATGCAGTTCACATGAACTGTGGGCCAGCCCGCACGAAAATCCTCATGTGCGGCTGAATAAGTTTGATGAAACCTTTCCAAATGCAAAAATAGGCTGAAAAGGCCTCACGTGGTCACACGTGGCTGCTTCTACATCCTCACCAATGACATCGCCACGTCCGAACCCAACGACAACAATTGAATCTCTAAAGTCAAGCTTGCAAGAGTCAAGCTGCCACTCCGAACATTCAAATGAAAACGAATAAAACATGCGGCCACGGCACGTTTTCGACCAAGACTCTACACGGTGGGGACCAATTAGCGAAGAGGATTTCAAACCTGAGAGAGCGAATGAAAGACTTGGATGAACAGTGATCTGTGCAAATCACTGCTCACGACCCGAAGGTCGAACACTTGCATACAATTGCCTGGCGATAGGTTGGGGAGGCAGGGTTCCTAAACCTAAGAGCCAGGGGTAAACCCAACGAATTAAAACCCTAGAAAAGGTACCCTAACTATGAGTAGCGATCCGCAAGGATCAGCTCACGCACCCTCGTGTGCCACTGTAAAATGGCATTGTCATCGGCCCTACCACTAGGCCATCCCAGGCGGGATTGCAAAACACCTAAGCCCCTAACACCGGGGGGCCGTCCCCCCACACTCTGGCAGTGCCAGAGGAGGTGATCCATGGTTGCTGGTGCTCTCTCGCACCTGTCACATACCCCGGGCTCAGGCCCGTCCCAGCGCTTACGGGCAGCCTGAGAGAGCTGTGTTTTGTTTGAATGTTGACCTGCAGGGGACAACACTCACGACCCGAAAGTCGTAACCTTGCGTTGGGAACATTATACTTCAACACAACCGGCGTTGTGAAGAGTAACCCCGGGGAACTAAACCACTAGGGAAAACCAAAGGGAACAAAACCCCAAAGGAGGCGACCCTAACTAGCTAAAAGCCCAAGGAAAGGCAACCTCAAGCGTACCTGTCAGCCAGGATCTTAGCTCTAACCGCAACGTGTCATTCCAAAATGGCCACATCGTTAGCCCTACCAGACGGCCAGCCAAAACGGGCCTGCAATATGCCAAGATTTCGAGTCACAGGCCGATTTGGCAAAGCCACACAACGCCACAGCAGATGATCAAGAGTGGCCGGCTCACGGCCACACGAAGCGCACACACCAGGATCGGGGCCATGCCAACGACAACGAGCAGCCGGGCTCAGCCTCATCGCTTGAAAGCGTTGGAAGCTGGTGCATGCTTTCCTCGCCCGTGCCACAACAGCCTCATCATAAGCAACAAAGGCGGCCCTACAGGCAGCCGAGTCCCGGCGATCCTCACACATAAAAGCATTGAAGCGGCAATGACGCCAAGACTCACGCAAGCAATGCATGGAACGCTCAAAGGCCTGATGGTCAACATCCGACGCAATCCGAAGCGTGAAGGAGAGACGCTCATGCAGCCAAAGCCATGGCTCGAGCAATGTCCAACCCAAGGCCTGCATGGCCGACTGCATAACCTGAGACCAGCCCCGGCGGGCCCAAGCACAAGGAAAGCCACGACGCCTCCATGCCTGCTTTTGGGCAGCAGCAACATGGGCGGACAAAACGCGAAAGTCAAAGTCAAGAGAATGGCCACGCAACAGTGCCCGCAACTGAACGCTGGCATTCTTGCCTTCCCGAAGTGCAACCCTAACCGCAGAGTTAACCCGTTCTCTATCCTGTTTAGGAGGTAACCTAAAAACCCAACCCCAAGTGTCTTTTCCCAGACACTGGGTCGAAACAACACGCTTGCGGCAGGCCCAAGACACAGGCAACAGCGCACAACGCCTAAGCAGCTTCACTGCCGCGGTGAGCCTAGCCTCTTCTTTGGGCGTATTTAACCTGAGCTGCCTTCCACGGAAGTGAACACCCAAAACACAAGGATCCTGCATGATGCGGTCACCCCTGGCACCAGCCTGCAACAGCTGCCTTCTGCCAAGGGCACTGGCATGAAAATACGTCGTTTTGGTCGCATTTTCAAGCATGCCAATCTTTTGAGACCAAGCAGCCCACGCTTGTTCAATCCGGAGCGCTTCCTGTGCATCATCTCGACAAACGTCCTATCATCAAGCGATGCAACAACCTGACACGGGTTAACTGCAAAGCATCTCAAATCTGAGTGTAATGAACAACGTGAATGAACATAGACCTGTGAGGGGTCTATGCTCACGACCGAGTGTGAAGGCGAAAGAAGTGGTGCATCAACATTTCGCGGCGAAGTTTTTTCGAACGTTGGCCTTCAGGGGGCAAAGCTCGCGATCAGAAAGCTGCACCCTTGCAATTGGAAACGATTTGGGTTGACAAATGCCGCAACGCCAGCTAGTACAGGCGCAAGCTTGGTGGCAATCTCAACCCAATAAAGGCACACGGAACATCAAAAGTCAGGTTCAAGCCCTAAATCCAAATCCAGATCCAGAAAAACAGAACGCCCTAAATTGTAAGTGCAACTGAGAACAGATCTAAAGGATCAAGAGTACTTGTCGGCCAACATATGGGACCTAATTGCAACGTGCCACTCTCAAATGGCGTTGTCATCAACCCTCCCTGCCAGCCAGCCAAGGCATGCTTGCAGGATTCTTATAGTAGGTGCAACAGGACGGTTCTGCATGATCGTGCAGTGCCAAGATGATGCAGCCTTGCAGGCCCAACACCGCACTTAGCACAGACACCCAGAACTTTGCGATTTTTTGCAGCGCGGATCAAGGTAGCGTCACTCATGACCTGAAATCGGTGGAGCACTGTGCACAGCGCAGCATCACGAGATCCACCGTCATGAACTTATTGAACATGGCGTGTTCACGGAGCATGTGCTGTGCGCGGGCGCGGACTGCTGATGAGTAACGACCGCACCACGGTTCACAGCGTGACCTAGCCCTAAACGCTCATGGTCCAACATTCAGCGCTTTGCAACACCTGCGACTAGCCCACGCGTGCCCAACAACAAGGAGCGCCCACGCGTTTCCACGTTTGCTGCTGTGCTGCTGCAAAGTTGAAAACAATGACCCGGAAATTCAAGTAAAAACTGCACCCGCTCAACACCAGGCAGGGGGAAACTGGAATCTTTG